CACACACAAGAACTTGCCCTTGGTAATTGTGGGAGCTAGCTAGCAGTCTCTGAAAACATGTTGCCTTCACGTCTGAGGCTGGAGCTCAGGTCCACAGGTCATGCCGGCAGGAAGAAGAGATGAATGTAGAACGTGAGACAGTGAGAATGAGCTGAAACCCACATGAGCTAAAGCCGAGAAGGACAGACAAAACCCATGTCGGTTCTCGTTGCCTCTGGCTTTGGTGGTAAGGGCGTCCTGCGGAAGCCAGGGCCCTTTGTCACAGAGCTAAATACCCCCCCACCTGGCCCAGGGGTCTGCGAAGCTGCAAGGGATCCTGGGGGAGCCTGTAGGGCGGCCGTAGGGCCCAGTTGCTGCTCTGTGTCAGTGAGGGGGGGCAGTGGACTGGCAATGGTGTGGATGAGCTACAAAACGGTGCTGCCTCCCCTCTGCCCCCCAAAGCTTGCCCGAGTTGTTCTCGGGGTGTCCTCTAACAGGAAGCATAGACAAAGGCAGTTTGGGGAATGGAGTTTGGCTTAGCCAAGTTGACATGTTACAAAGCCACCGTCACCAGTTTAGAGAGAGGAATGGTTCTTTCGTTTTCTTGTGTGTGTACATATACTATCTCTTAGCGTAGATCAAAGTTTCTCAGGCTCTACCCAATTGACATTTGGCACCAGATGATTATCAAGGTGGGGAGAGCAGTCCTGAGCACCATACGATGTTAACAGCTTCCTTGACCCCTCCCTAGGGGATCTAATAGCAACCTCTTCTCCTCAGTTTGACAAGCAAAAATATCTCCAGATATCACCAGAAACCCCTTTGGGGGACACACTCATCCACAGTTGAGAATCACTGGTCTAGATCATGTGCTGCTTGAGGAGAAGAACCATTAGTTCTTTTTCCTGGAAACCAACGCGGTGTTTTACCCGCGGAAAGTGCTCAGTAATTAGTAGTTGAAGGCACCCATATGTGCATAAAGAAATATTTGCCTATCACCAAAGTGACACACATACATTTAAAAGAAGGTGCTCAGCTCCTTAAATGTTTGAGTTCTGACTTCAGAGCACTGCTTTTCTTGGTCTAAATACTCTCCCAGATGATCTTCGCTGCTGTG